CCGGGATTGGGTCTCAGGTCCCAGGCCTGACAGGATCGACCCCCAGATCCCCGACCTGGGGTAGTGTTGGGATCAGGGGTCTGTGTGGGTCAGGATTGGGCCCCGGATCTCGTGCCAGGATCAGGGGAATCAGGCCCAGCGTAGTGTCGGAATCGGGGGCCTCAGTCTGGGTCAGGATTGGGCCCCAGATCTTGGTCTTGAGCTAGTGTTTGGGTCGGGATTTGGGCCTCAGGTTGCAGACCCGGGCTAGCGCAAGGATCAGGGGCTTAGCGTGGGTCAGGATCAGGCCTCAAATCCCAGGTCCGGATAAGGTTCAGGCCCCTGGTTTGGGTGGGAGCGAAGTGGGGTTGGATCCTCCCAGCATGCTTTGGGGCAGAGGGCAGTAGTGCCTAGTTCTCTCCCAGCATTCTCTGGGCTTGGCCGGACCCCTCCCAGCATGCCCTGGTGCAAGGGTGGTTGGCCTGGGGGTCCAGGCTGGCCCCCTCCCAGCGTGCCATGGGGCAGCGCCCCACCCACCCGCCCGCAGGCCCGCCCGAGTCAATGCGGGAGCACGTGGTGGCAGCCTCCAAGGCCATGAAGATGGGCGACTGGCGCACCTGCCACCGCTTCATCGTCAACGAGAAGATGAACGGCAAGGTGTGGGACCTCTTCCCCGAGGCCGACAAAGTCCGTGACATGCTGGTCCGGTGAGTGGGGCAGGCTCAGGCTCTTGGAGCCAGTGGGGAGCTGGGTCTGGTTCTGGGGAAACTGAGGCAGGGGACCCGGGGCGGGGCTCAGAGGCTCAGTGAGGGGCGGAGTCTTTCCTAGGGAGCTGGTTCAGGCTCTTGGCAAGCTCAGGCTGAGAACCGAGGAAGCTACTGGTTCAGGCGTTGGGCAAACTGAGGCTGGGGAGCAGGGGGAGGAGCTTGTTGGGGGCAGAGTCTTTGCCAGAAGCCAGTCGATAGGTGCTGGTTCAGGGTCTGGCAAACTCAGGCTGAGACCTGGGCGAGGTAGGTGGAGCCTGTTCTACAAACCAGTGGGAAGCTACTGACCCGGGTTGTGGGTAAACTGAGGCAGGGGCCCCAGGGATGGGGTTAGGCAGCAGAGGGAGGAGCTCGAGCACAGTAGGTCCCATTGGGGGTGTGGAGTCATTTCTAGGAGCCAATCAGGAGTTAGGCTCCCCACAAACGCAGGCAGGCAGCTGGGGGGTGGGGGGAGCTTACAGGCAGGAGGGGCGGGGTCTTGATGTGACCCCGCCTCCCCCTTGCAGGAAGATCCAGGAGGAGTCTCTGCGCACCTACCTCTTCACCTACAGCAGTGTCTATGATTCTATCAGGTGAGCTGGGGGCGGGGTCTGGTGGTTGGGGGCAGGGCTTGCTGGGAGGGGTGGGGCTTGGCACTGGGCCCTTCCCCCGGTGTGGTGGCAGCATGGAGATCCTGGCAGACATGTTCCAGCTGGACCTGCCCACGGTGCACAGCATCATCAGCAAGATGATCATCAACGAGGAGCTCATGGTGAGCGGGGGCCCCAGAGCCTGCGCCCGGTGCTGGGGGGCAGGGGCCCGGTATCGGGGGCTGCCTGGGTTTGCCAAGAGCCTGTGCCCGCTGCTAGAGGGTGGTGGCGGTGCATGGGGGGGCAGGGGAAGGCCTCGGGGGCTGGGCTGGGCTGAGCTGAGCTGTCTGAATTTGCCGAGAGCCTGCGCCCGTTGCTAGAGCAGGGTGGGAGCTGGGGGCCGTGTGCCCTGCTGACCACCCCCCGTGCTGGCGCCAGGCCTCGCTGGACCAGCCCACGCAGACGGTGGCCATGCACCGCACGGAGCCCACGGCGCAGCAGACGCTGGCGCTGCAGCTGGCCGAGAAGCTGGGGGCGCTGGTGGAGAACAACGAGCGGGTGCTGGACCACAAGCAGGGCTCCTACGGCGGCGGCTACTTCCGCGGTGAGCGCCCGCACCCCGGGGGCGGTGCAGGGGTGGGCTCCGCAGACCCGCGGGGGGGTTGTAGGGGTGGGTGCCCGCATTAACCCCCTGCCTGTTTCTGTCCCCAGACCAGAAGGACGGCTACCGCAAGAACGAGGGCGGCTACATGCGCCGCGGCGGCTACCGGCAGCAGGAGCGCAGCTCCAACTACTGAGCCCCAGCCCGGATGCCTGGGTCCCTTGGTTTGGGGGGGGCGAGGGGGGATTAACGTGGAATAAAGCCAGGAACCAAAGACCTTGGACTTGGACTCTGCTTTGGGGGGACCAGATGATGAGGGGGGGGGCTTATCTGCCCCCAGCTGGGGCAGTTCCCACACCTCCCTGCCCTGTGATTGGCTGAGTACGGCCCTGCCCCCCATATTAACCCCTTGCAGGCAGGGGTGGGCAGTGCCCAGTCAGGCATGGGGGTTAACGAGGTGGGTTAATGAGTAGCTGCCCTGCGGGTGGGGGTTGGGGGTAGCTGCCCCTAGGGGGGTGAACTTTGGCCGGCAGCAGGCGTGGACGGGGCAGGATGCTGGGGCTCGGCGGACCACGGCGGCGGGGGGCAGCAGGGCTCCCCCAGGGGGACCCAGGCATCCTGGGGGGGTTCAGGGACGGGGCAGCACTGAGGGCCAAGAGCGGGCAGGAGCTGGCCCGGGCCATGCTGGTGCTGGGGCTGTGCGGGCTACCCGGCTTCGTCCGCAGCGCCCCCGCGGTGAGATGTGGGACCCCCCGCAGGAGGGGAGCGAGGGGGGCTGAGGGGTGCCCTGCTGCCCCCTGACCCCCCGTCCCTGTGCCTGGCAGCTGCTGTGGGTGTCGCGGCGGGTGCTGGGGCGCCGGCTGTGGCAGGGGCTGCTCCGCGCCTCCTTCTACGGGCAGTTTGTGGCAGGTGCAACGCCGGCCGAGGTGGGGGTCACCGCGCGGCGCCTCCAGGCCCTGGGCCTGCGCCCCATGCTGGCCCTGCCCTTCGAGGAGGACGTGGGGGGGCCGCGGTCTGATGGGTAAGGGGGTGCGCGCTTCGGGGGGGCTGTGGGGTGGAAACGAGGGGCACGGCCGGGGGCAGCGCCCGGACGCCTGGGTCCCAGCCCGCGGCCCTCCGGCAGGGAGCACTGGTACGAGGGGAACAGCGCGGCGGCAAGGGGCTGCGTGGAGCTCTCAACGCAGGGGGGGCCGCGGCCCATGATGCAGCTCAAGGTCACGGCCCTGATGAGCGCCCATCTCTGCGTGAGTACGGGGGGTGGCCCGGCCCCTGCACCCTGTATGGGGGATGTGGGGGATGCCAGCCCCCCCGACGCCCCCTTCCTTCCATCAGAAGACGGTGTCAGGGCGCCTGGCAGAGCCGGGGGGTGGAGCTCTCAACGCAGGGGGGGCCGCGGCCCATGATGCAGCTCAAGGTCACGGCCCTGATGAGCGCCCATCTCTGCGTGAGTACGGGGGGTGGCCCGGCCCCTGCACCCTGTATGGGGGATGTGGGGGATGCCAGCCCCCCCGACGCCCCCTTCCTTCCATCAGAAGACGGTGTCAGGGCGCCTGGCAGAGCCGGGGGGCGCGTCTGATCTGAGCCTGGACAGAGTTGTGGCGGTGATGGCTGGTGAGGTGAGTACCCCCCATCCTGCCCCTCCTCGCAGCGACCCCAGCGCTGACCCCCCCGCCTGCCCGCCTGCCCCCCAGGACCCGCAGGTCCAGAACCGGCACCTCGGCGCCGCGCTCGCCCGGCTGGATGGCGTCGCACAGGTACAGGGCGGGCAGCCTGGGGAGGGGGTGTCTAGCGTGGGGAAGCCAGGCGTCTGGGACCCGTCGCTTGCCTGGGTCCTGGCCAGGCGCTGGGCTCCCACGGCGCCTGTGCCCGCAGCTGGCGTCACAGCGCGGCGTGCGGGTGCTGGTGGACGCAGAGCAGACCTACGTCAACCCGGCGCTGGGGCTGGTGACGTTGGCGCTCATGGCCCGCTGGAACCGCGACCGCGCCTGGATCTGGAACACCTACCAGGCCTACCTCCAGGTACCCACGCCCTCCCTGTGCCCCCGACCTCCGCCCCCTGCCCCCTGACCTCCGCCCCCTGCCCCAGGACTGCCGGGCACGACTGCAGCAGGACGCTGGTGCGGCCGAGCGTGGGGGCTTCTGCTTTGGGGTCAAGCTGGTGCGTGGCGCCTACCTGCAGCAGGAGAGGGGCCTGGCCCGGGCCCGGGGGTGCCCTGACCCTGCGCACCCCACCTGGGAAGCCACCAATGCCAGGTAGGGCCTGCCCCCACGCCTGGGTGCCCCGGAAGAGGCGGATGCCTGGGTCCCCCGTCCACGCCTGCCTCTCGCTGCAGCTACGACGCGTGCCTGGACCTGGCGCTGGAGAGGGCAGCGCAGGATGGGCAATGCTTCGAGCTCATCGTGGCCACTCACAACGAGGCCTCCGTGCGCCACGCCATCCGCAGGTGCCCTTTGCAGCATGCCCTGGGCAGGGGGAGACCTTCCCAGCATGCCCTGGGGTTGGCATGACCCCCCCCCCATGTGTTGTCCACAGAATGGCGGAGCTGGGCATCCCCGAGGCGGACGGGGGCGTGTGCTTTGGGCAGCTGCTGGGCATGTGCGACCACGTCTCGCTGGCACTCGGTATGACTGCACGTGTGTGCACATGCGTGTGCCACAGGCCCGGGCTGTGTGCCCCCCCCCCCATGTGCTGACCCATGTCCTCCCTCGCAGGCCAGGCTGGCTACACGGTGTACAAGTCGGTGCCCTACGGGCCCGTGGAGGGCGTGCTGCCCTACCTGGTGCGCCGGGCGCAGGAGAACCGCAGCATCCTGGCCGGGGCGCGGGCCGAGCGCGCCCTCCTCACGCAGGAGCTCTGCCGCCGCCTGCTCCGGCGCCCGTGACGTGGCCAGGAGGACCCGCAGCCCGGGCAGATCCTGCACACACTCTCCGCCGTTCCCTCCTCTCACCTTTGTCCCTGGGGGTGCTGGGACAGGAGCTGCCCTTGGCATGACTCCGTTTGGCATTTACCCCCAGCCCCGAGGGCTTCCGGACAACGTGGATGGCTGGGGGCATGAGCAGCTCCCCCTGATCCCCTGCACAATAAATCCCAGCATGACTCACCGCAGCCTGGCTTCAGGCCCAGTTTAATGGGGGGCTCGCCTGCGGGATGGGAGAAACCTGGCATCCAAGAGCACCAGGGATGCTGGGAGCGGTGGGCGGCATCAGGGGAGCAGGTGCGTGGGTGGGGGGCAGCAGGTCTGGGGGAGCAGGGACCGAGATGCCACCATGCATCCTCCTCCGATGCCAGCCCTGTGGAGGGGGATACAAGCAGGGTGAGGGGCTGCAGGGCTTGGGGGGGCCACATGCCAGGGTCCCGCGTCGGACAACTTACCCAGAGCGCTCCCAGGACCACCACTGCCCCACCGCCCAGGCCGGCCGCCCAGACCCAGGTCGAGTTAGCGTTAGCATCCAGCCATGGCCTAGTGCGAGGTGGGGCGGTCACGTCCGCGAGGCCGGAGGGGTCCACCTGGAGAGTCCAGGGGGTGTCCAGCCTGGATGAGTCTGGGGGGAGCAGAGTGAGACATGGGCATGGCGCTGCGGGGCCAGATTGGGGCCCGGTCTGGACTGGGGCTCCCACACCCCCCCTTGCCAACGAGCCACTGGGGACCTGGCATCTGGGACTTGGGGCACCCCCAGAGGAAGCCCCCACCCCACCCCACAACCTACTGAGGACGTGGAGCTGGGTCTCGGCCATGCCGGTCCCGTGCGCGTGCTTCACCCGGCACTGGTAGGTGCCGCGGTCAGCCGGGCTCAGCGGGCCCAGGCGCAGGCTGGCGTCTCCCTTGTCCGGGTCCCCCACCAAGCTGGAGCGGGTGACGTAGGTGGGGTCCGTGAACCGGGTGTCCACCTTGCCCTGGTAGTGGATGTAGACTGAGCTTTTGCCCCCAGCGCTGTCGAGTCGGGTCCAGTACAGGATCAGGTCCTTGGCAGGGGGGTGGAAGGTGCAGTTCAGAATTGCCGTGGCCCCCGCCTCGGCCTCCACCACCATCGGTGCCCGCACGGCCAGCTCGTCTGCGGGGGGTGGCAGGTTAGTGCGAGTGCAGTTTGGGGGGGGTCTAGGTTTGGGGGCTGGGAGAGGGGGACCATACCTGATATGAGCCCCGCAAGTGCCCCAAGGAGGATGGGCAGCAGTCGCATGACGGAGAGGCCTGCAACGGCAGCAAGAAGGAGGGGGTGAGAGGCAGGGTTGGGCCCCGGACCCTCCTCCCCTTCGGGGTAGGCACCTAAGTCCCCAGGTGGGGAGCGGGGTAGGGGCAGCCCTGGACACCCGGGTCCCATCGACGTACGTCCCCCAGGCTCCCTGGCACCCCACTCACCCATGGATGCTGTGGGGTGGCTGGTGGCCAGCAGGGGGGTCTCGCCAGCTGCCCAGGGCCCCCACGGTGGGGCGGCCGCGCCCGTGCTGGAGAAGGGAAAGCGAAAGCGCCCCCTCGGAGCACGGTTCCCCCTCCGGCCTCGCCCGGCCGGACGGAGGTCTCCTCTGGAATTTCCTTTAGGCCTGGCGCCAGCCCGCCTGCCCCTGGTCCCAGCAGGCTGCTGCCGGCTGCGGATGTCAAGGCCAGGCGAGGTGGGAAATGGGAGTGTGGTGTGTTGGCATCCATCCCCGAGGCCTCGTCCGCCCCCTCCCCGCTACAAGGTGCCACGCGCTCGTGTCAAGGGCAAGGCGCCCTGTCACGTCCTGCCCGGCTCAGCTCGCCCACAGCGGGCACAGGCCTGACACCCCCCCCCACCTCGCCCCTAATCCGGCTGGGAACACGGCTGCGAGCTGAGCTGGCGTCAGCGGCTCAGGGCGAGGATGTGGTACGCTCCCCTGGCTCCTGCCTCCATCATCCCCTCGCCGTGTGGGCATGCTAAGCCGCCCGCCTAAGGAGTGCTGGGACATGAGGCCTGCTGGGCCCCGCATGCCCGAGTGCTGGCGCGAGCGGCTGCCAGGGCCCGCGGTGATGAGCGTGCAGCATGGCTGCGGCGGGGGTCGGCGCGTGCGAGGGGCAGCGGGCTGGGGTGGATGGCGTGAGCGGGCAAGGCAGCCCAGGCGGTGTGAGCGACTGGCACGAGGGGGCCTGAGGGGGAACAGGATTTGGTGCCCGCGCAGGGCACTGGCGTCGCGTGCACCACCAGCGCAGCCAGGCGCATGCGGCGGGGAGCGGGCAGGCCTGGGCCTGGCTCGCTGCCCTGCTTGCCTAACGGCGCAAGGAGCTGGTACGGGGAGCAGGGGGCAGTTATGCCAAGCTGGGCGGGGGGTCGTGCCCGCATGGCTGCCCTCGTGCCAAGGCAGCGCGGCCCCGGGGTGCCCAGGCGGCGCGCGGGGCCGGTCCCGCGGGGGCTG